AACAAGTGAAAAAAGCATAAAAAAGAAAATTATTTTTACACATGGCTGATGGCACGATAGGCGTGTCATCAACTCCTGTGGCTTCTGTGGAAATATGTGTACGCCGCCACAGCTAAAAGTTGTCGAATATCGGTGCCGCAACGAATCGGATAAGAAAAAGTGCGAGGGAGATGGATATTATTCCATCTCACTTCCTTATTTCGCCGTCAAAGCCGTCTACACTACAAGGAAGTGTCACTTCGTACACATGCACACCATTACACGCACATTGTATTATAATCGTGATTGATTAAGGAAGGAATATAACTGAGGAAATTTCACCTACTAACTGAATTTTAGCCTTTTTTCGGGCTCTGCACTCTCGCGTGCGCTCTGCTGCTGATTTTGGACGTTTTCGCTGGATTTGAGAACTATAACTCACTGCCTTTTTCCGGGCTCTGCACTCTTACGAACGCTTTACTGTCGATTTTGGACATTTTTGCTGGATTTGAGAATTATTACTCGCTGCTTTTTTTCGAGCTCTGCACTCTCGCGTGCGCTCTACTGTTGATTTTGGACGTTTTCGCTGGATTTGAGAACTATAACTCGCTGCCTTTTTCCGGGCTCTGCACTCTTGCGAACGCTCTACTGTTAATGTTGGTCGTTTTCGCTGGCTTTAAGATTTAACACTCGCTACCTTTTTCCGCGTTCTACACTCTCGCGTGCGCTCTGCTGTTGATTTTGGACGTTTTCGCTGCATTTGAAAAACATCACTCGCTGGCTGAGTTTCACTCTTTTTCCGGGCTCTGCACTCTAGCGTGCGTTCTGCTGCTTTTGTTTGATGTATAGCGTTTGCGTTTGGGAGAGAAGTACTGGTTTGAGAACACTAAAGATGTTGAACGTCATCTATAATAAATAACTATATTATTTGGGTGATCCATTGAGTTTCGGGATTCTGCCATTATTGAATCTCTCTGCTAGGTACACAATATATCACTTTATTATCAAAGTTTTATTTTCTATGTCTGAACAATATTCTCACAGTTAGAAATCATTGTAGAAGCGTGCTCGTCGCGACCCCTGCCAGCCCTTTTCAGGGCTGCAATTCTACTAGCTGCGCACCCATGCCAACGAGGGTTAGGGCGTCCCCCCAAGGCGACGCACACCAGCTCGTCCCCGTTGGTGTGGAATGCAGCGTGCAAAGCGGCGATGGGGACCGCCACCCGTCACGCACAGCCCGACACGGCGGAAGGTGGAGGACAGAGTGCAGAGTTGGCACGTGGAATGTTAGAGGAGGCATGAGAGATAAGACGAATGAGTTGATCGAAATAATGAAAGAAAGAGAATTAGATGTCGTGTGTATGTCGGAGACCAAACGGAAGGGCAGTGGTACTGAAGAGCTCCCTGGCGGGGCGTTAGCTCTATGGTCAGGAGTCCCGGAGAGCGAGAGCGCCTGCCAGGGAGTGGGGGTGCTGCTGTCTTCTCGGTTGGTCGATGTTATGACTGAATATAAGGTTGTGAACTCAAGACTTCTCTGGGTTCGCTTTAAATTGGGACTGACGAAGTTATTCCTTTTGGCTGTTTATGCGCCGGTAGCTTCGTCGTCCAGGGCTGAGCTGGAGGAGTTTTGGGAGAATGTAAGAGAAGTTCTAGATTTGGCTAGGGGAAACGAAAGAATTGTTGTATGTGGTGATTTGAATGGATGGGTTGGTACTGCTCGACCAGGGTACGAGTCGGTACTTGGAAAGTTTGGCGATAAAAGGGTTAATGATGCTGGCAAGCTTATACTGGCGGTGTGCAAGGAAAAGGGTCTTCTTGTGACAAACACTATGTTTAATCACAAGAAAATCCATATGTATACTAGAGAACGAAAGAATGAGAGAAGTATGATTGATTTGTTCCTGGTGGATGACCGACTGCGAAAACAGGTGATGGATACGCGAGTGTTCAGGGGTGCTGACCTGGGAACGGATCACTATCTAGTGATTACTAGATTTAGGGGTCTGTTCGCGGGTTGGCGCTACCGGACGGCAGTAACAGAACCACAGTCGGTCTGTCGCATCCGAAACTGGAAGCTTCAGGAAGCGGATACTAGGGACAAATATCATGCGAGGGTAGCCGAAAAGCTTGACACCATCGATGGCAGAAAAGAATGTGTAGAAAGAACTTGGCAGAACCTTAGGGATGGAATGGTAAGTGCAGCGGAAGAAGTGTGTGGAACAATAAAAAGAGGCAGTAGTAAAAGAAGAGATGCATGGTGGAATGATGAAGTGAAAGAAGCTGTAAAGAAGAAGAAGAAAGCATGGTTAGACTACTTGGCCTCTAGTAATGATAAGGATATGAGAGAGAAGATGAAAGAAAGATATAGGCTGCAGAAAGTTCACACGAAAGCACTGATTGAGGAAGTGCGTGAAAGGTGTAGAATGGAAGCGGACGAAAGGTTGTCGCACAACTTCAAGGAGAACTCCAAACTCTTCTGGAAAGAGGTTGGAAGGACCCGAAGTGGTGCGACGGCCTTAAGAATGAACAAAGTGCTTTCGAGAACTAATGACGTCCTCTCTGAAAAATCGGACGTCATGCAGCGATGGAGCGAATTTTATAGAGAAATGTATGCGTGTGATGATCTTAGTGAGGGATCCGGGGATGACGCCGTGACTGGTACGCCAGACCCGGACCTCGATGACACTGAGGTCATCAGGATGAAAGAGATTGAACGTGCGATTCGAAGTTTGAAATGTGGTAAGGCTGCGGGACTAGACAGAGTTACTGCTGAAATGGTCAAGTATGGTGGGCCTCGCGTCTGGGACAGCTTTCATCTGCTGTGCAATTTGTGCTGGCGGACGGGGGATGTCCCGGATGATTGGCGATCCGCAGTCATTGTGCCTTTATATAAAGGTAAAGGTTCACATTTTGACTGCGGGTGCTATCGGGCGATCAGCTTGACCAGTTTAGCAAGTAAAGTTTACTCGAAGGTTTTGACACGTAGGATGCAAGAGAAATCGGAAAGATTTCTATGGGAGGCACAATGCGGATTTAGACCTGGAAGAGGATGCACGGATCAAATGTTTTCTCTCCGCATGATCACGGAGAAGCTTCTGGCTGCTAACCAGAAGATTTTCTGTGCTTTTGTGGATCTTGAGAAAGCATTTGATAAGGTTGTAAGGAAGAAAATGTGGGAACTGTTGCCGGGGTATGGTGTGCATGGTCGATTGCTAAGGGCTGTGCAGTCTCTTTACTGTGACTGTAAAGCCTGTGTGCGGGTAGGGCATGACATGTCACCCATGTTTAACGTCCAAACGGGCGTAAAGCAGGGTTGTGTCATGTCTTCCTGGCTGTTCATACTGTATCTCGACAGCTGTTTACAGAAGCTGAAAGATAGTTGTTTGGGTGTGAAATTGGGTAATATTAAAGTAAATTGTCTGCTGTATGCTGATGATGCAGTGCTTATTGCACCATCAGAGGCAGAACTGCAGGCATTAGTCACGTGTATGAAAGAGGAATGTGAAATTAAAGGTCTCCGTTTGAATGCTAATAAAACTAAGGTTCTGGTATTTGAAAGGGACGAAGAGAGAACGAAGTGTGAAATATGGGTAAATCAGGAATGTCTAGAACAGGTAAATGAAATTGTATACTTGGGGAGTGCTTTTAGCTGGGATGGAAGATGTGATTTAGATGTGGACAGGCGTGTCGCTGCCGGGAACAAAGTCAATGGTGCCCTGACTGCGTTAGTCAAAAGGCAAGGCGTAGCGAAGAGTGCACGCCTTGCAATACATAACGCAGTGTTGGTACCGACTTTGTTATATGGCAGCGAAACCTGGGTATGCCAGAAGAAGCATAAAAGTAAGTTGAATGCAGTGGAGATGCGATCTCTTCGTAAAATGTGCGGCGTTACCATGGCCGACCGAAAGCGAAACGAAGAGATTCGCAATATGGCAGGTTTGAAAGATGACCTTATCACAAAAATTGATAAGGGCGTGCTTCGGTGGTTTGGGCACGTTGAGCGAATGAGTGAAGACCGAATGGTGAAGAAAATATATAGCGCGAAAGTTAATATTAAAAGGTGTCGAGGTAGACCGAGACTAACTTTCGAAGACCATGTGAGCAAATTGCTCGAAGAGGGTAGGGTCAAAAGTACTCGGATACCTAGACGTGCATGCATGAAGAAGATAATGAATCTGAAAGAAGCGAAAGAGGTTTGTAAGGATCGTGACACTTGGCGATCTGTTCTCTCTGGCTACCCCGTCAGGGATTGTGCGTGAAGATAAGTATAAGTAAGTATAAGTATAAGTAGAAATAAAAAATATGTACAAGAATTAAGAGACATAACTGTGCTTAGGCACCAGCATGTGCATAGAGACTAAACCTTCCTTCCTGTATATAATTATTATACTCTTTGGAGTACATCCGTGGACTAAAGGCACAGACTATACACACAGGTAAATGTATGTTTTTTTAATACCGTACTAAATTTCTCCACTACGTCGATATAGAAGTTTTAGGATAGATGGCACTAAAAGTATAATTTAGCAAAATTTTGGTAGTGACAGTATAAGAATTAGCGTTACATAGTGTAAAATTTTTATTCACAGGGTTGATGCTACAATGCATAAACCTGGTGTATTGAGATTTAGGTACATATATTTTGCAAAAGTTATTGAATACCATTAATTTAAAAAAAAATAATTGTTATATTGCTATGTATCAGAAATTACTGGAACTAATGAATTGTCACTAACGACATCTATTTAATATTGTACAAAGTTAACAAATCATAAGTTTTTTACCGAGTCGACATCTAGCGTCGATTTTCGGAATTTGGTATTGCCATTTTAAGTAAACATGTATATCTAACAATTTTACTATACTCATGCAGCCACGGCGATGTAACGTTACAAGAAAACGTGACTTTTTTTAAATACTGTACGAAATTTCTCCACTACGTCGATAAAGAAATTTCACTTCAAAAACAGCGAGTTGTAAACCTCCTTTTCTTTGGAGTCAGCTAATAGGCAAGACAACACATGCCGTGGTCAAAATCGGCGAGAAGCACATCATCATAATGAGTTGGATTGATGAAGATAATTCTGACTCACCAGTTCGTTTGTTCAAAGCGTCCTCGTCCGGATCGTAGGGAGAGTCGGAACCGTTCATCCGGAACTCCTGGAGCACTGCGTCTATTGAGCGCTTGGGGGTCACTGAAGTTAAACAAAATACAATCATGGATCTTATGATTAGCGGTCGCGCTCACGGCCACTAGGCCCATGAGGCAGTCAATGTAACAATATTATCTATAGTAAATATTACAAATTCTGTAATAAAAAAATGCGTGATTGTCGTGGAACACTCGGTTGGAACAAAGTTCCTTGCGTAGTATATATTATTGATAAACGTAGGTATTATATTATTGATTAACAAATACAAATAAATGAATTACTAGCGTCTATTAAAATGTAGCGTCATTTGAAATAAAATAATATTAATTTCACGGCAAGATAAGAAAAAGTGCGAGGGAGATGGATATTATTCCATCTCACTTCTTTACTTCGCCGCCAAGGCCGGCTAAACTATGACGCAGGGGGTAGTGACGAAAAAATCTTACACTTTTTGTCGCTTAACTCCCATCCGCCAAACTCGTACCGTCCGATAAGGAACTTCGTTCCAATAATTTAAGCGATTTTTCCGGACCGATACGACTTAGGGGCCTTCAAGAAAAGAGCCTACTATTTTTAAAAGGCCGGCAACGCATCTGCAACTCCCCTGGTGTTGCAGTTGTTCATAGGCGGCGGTATTTACTTACCATCAGAGCCGCATGCTCGTTTGCCATTTCTCCTATAAAAAAAATATTTTTAAAAAGTATTAATGTTAGAGTAGTGCAGTGCACTGCCGTAGACAGAGAATCTACTGTGTCCAGGTCTGAAGTATAGAGAGCGAGTATGATTACAGGTTGCGAGGCATTCCATATTAATCCTCAGAGGTGACAATGCATCCACAGCCTTCTTTGTTTGAAGTTTGTTGCAGGTGTCCATGGGCTGTAGTAGCCATTTGGCTATGGTATGTACCAGCGGCTGAAATGTGAAATCATACATCACCTCGTTTTTCTAAAAAAAAAAACTAGCGATCCACCCCGGCTCGCACGGTTGATTTCCGGATCTCGTCAACAGCGCCACCTACCGGGTCCAATTGTGAATGAAAAATCTCGAATCAACTTAATAACACATAAAAAATTTCATCGAAATCGGTCCAGCCGTTTAGGAGTTCTGTCACACGTGTGTGTATGTTTTTTTTTTATTGGAGAGGGGGCAAACGTGCCTGCGGGTCACCTGATGGTAAGTGACTACCGCCGCCCATGAACAACTGCAACACCAGCGGAATTGCAGATGCGTTGCCGGCCTTTTAAAAAGAAGTACGCTCTTTTCTTGAAGGTGACAGAACTATTAGGACGGATAGAAGAATTATATAAAATATATAGTATGTATAAATTATATATAATATAAACTTTCCTCTTGAATCATTCTGTCTATTGATGAAAACTGCATCAAACTTCGTTTGGTAGTTTAAAAGATCTAAGCGTACAGACGGTGGGAAGCGACTTTGTTATACTACGTAGAGATATACGAGTATGTACATAAGTAAGGCTCACTCACCATCTGAAAAGCTAGCAGATTTCTCCCTATTCATCTTTTCCGTCTCCTGAATGTGGTTCTGAAGTGGTTGCCACGTCTCCTGGCTGCCCCATGGTGAGAACTGTAAGGTGATGCAACTTGATTAACAAACAAACTGCGATTTAGAAGATGTTTTCTTCCTCGCACGACTTCCTTGTGGAATCGATTACCATCAGCGATTTTTCCGGACCGATACGACTTAGGGATCTTCAAGAAAAGAGCGTACTCCTTTTTAAAAGGCCGGCAACGCATCTGCAATTCCCTCCCTGGTGTTGCAGTTGTTCATGGGCGGCGATAGTCACTTACCATCAGGTGAGCCGCATACTCGTTTGCCCCCTCTCCTATAAAAAAATAAATAAATAATAGTTATTCTATATGTGTATTAATATTGTATAAAATTAGAAATATTGAATAAATGAACCACGCTGCAGCTATATCATGGTTGTAGCACGAGAGCGTCGGCTCGACCGGGGCAGGACCACGCTCTCACAGAATATTAGTAGGTATGTTAAATAGCATCTTAGCGCTGCTGTGTTTCGTATGGTGAGTGTAGAGTACCGGAGACCCTTTTTACTGGAAACGAGGCACTCCATCTTAACCCTCAGGGGTGATAACACTGCACTTTGATTATTAATCGAGAATAAATGTAAATGTCTATGGGCCACAGCGTCCAATTACCATCAGGTGAACTGTGTGTTCATTTGTCAGCCTTGTACTATATAAAAAGATACAGAGAACCTACGGCAACATTAAAATAACAAGTTAAGTAGAAGTTACATTTCATGCCTACACACTTTTCACTTACTGGGACGTGGGGGAGGGGGGGGAGGACGCTTAACCGGTAGGTGGAGGGCAAATATTTGATTGCAATTATAAAATGCTTGAACTAGGCACAGTATATGAACAGTATAGTTTAAACACGGAAAACAATTTAAGTAACCTTTTACAAGTTTCGGCGGGAGCGTACGCGAGCCGCGGTTAGACGAAAACGTGCCTTTATTCTTCATTATTACAAATTATTTACAGAAAGAAAAATATTTTCGTATGCTACGACAAGATCGGAATTCTTTATTATTGAATTTAATTATGTAAAAAATTATCATTCTAATGTACAGGTTTTTCTAATTTACAAAAAATAAACCGATTTTGTTTATTTTTTGTAAATTAGATCAGCTGCTTTGCAGTTTATATATTCTTTTTTAAAGCAACAACGAAAAATCGGTTTCAACACCCTCAAAAACCATGAAAATGACACCCATGACAAAAAAAATTGATATCTATTGCAGCCGCCATCTTGGATTTACATTACGACAGCACTATCGGCTTCAACACCCTCGAAAACCATGAAAAAGACACCCATGACGAAAAAATTAATACCTATTGCAGCCGCCATCTTGGATTTACATTTCGACAACCCTATCGGCTTCATCATACTCAAAAACTATGAAAATGACACTCATGACGAAAAAACTTGATATCTATTGCAGCCGCCATCTTGGATTTACATTTCGACAGCACTATCGGCTTCATCATACTCAAAAACTATGAAAATGACACTCATGACGAAAAAAATTGCTACATATTGCAGCCGCCATCTTGGATTTACATTTCGACAGCACTATCGGCTTCAACACCCTCGAAAGCCATGAAAAAGACACCCATGACGAAAAAATTAATACCTATTGCAGCCGCCATCTTGGATTTACATTTCGACAACCCTATCGGCTTCATCATACTCAAAAACTATGAAAATGACACTCATGACGAAAAAACTTGATATCTATTGCAGCCGCCATCTTGGATTTACATTTCGACAGCACTATCGGCTTCATCAAACTCAAAAACTATGAAAATGACACTCATGACGAAAAAAATTGCTACATATTGCAGCCGCCATCTTGGATTTACATTTCGACAGCACTATCGGCTTCAACACCCTCGAAAACCATGAGAATGACACCCATGACGAAAAAAATGATACCTATTGCAGCCGCCATCTTGGATTTACTTTTCTGCCGACTTCCAAAAAAGGAGACGGTACACAATTCGACTGTATTTTTTTGTTTTTTTTTTATGTGTTACCTCATAACTTTTTACTGGGTGAACAGATTTCGATGATTCTTTTTTATATGGAAGCCGATACATCTCGTGTGGTCCCATATCAATTTGATCAAGGTCAGACCAATAGTTTTCGAGTTATTCTTAATAACTTATATTGAAGTCGGCTGTACAAAATTTTAAATTTTAAATTATTGTTACCACTATTGCACTATCAGCTTTAAATAGCCTCAAAACCGCCGCATTCTCTATTTACAAATAAGTTCACGAATTCATTATGATCGATCACGCTGACTTATAATTCAATAACGATTATAACAATGACAATAAAAATCATTCTTGCCTTTCAAAATCAGCAGGAAGCTTATATTTAAAAATTATAAATTTTAAATTATAACCATAAGCCCGGTCGAGCCAAAACATGCGTGCTAAACCATAATATAGCTGCAGCGTGACTCTACCACGTATAAATGCCTTAATCCACACGCTTGGCAGGTTTGATTGCACTTTTGACGCTCTGTCCGTCGCCGATCTTTGTATTTTCTAGCGTAGACGATTTTATTGTACTGTCATCTATCGGAAGCTAGATATAAGATTTTTGGGATGTCCCATAGAGTCGTCCCTTGCGCAATCCACGGGACGACATGGGCTGATGGACGCCACAGAATTATTTTAATTGGATTCTCTTAAAGCGTCACACCTCCACTACACGGCTATAATAAATATAGATATTATACCGTTATCGTTACCGTTACAGGCTATTAAAGTCCACTGCTGAACATAGGCCTCCCCAATTGATTGCTTTAAAAGGGATATTTGCCATACTTGCAACGCTTCGCAAGCATGTTGGCAACCGCTATTTTATTTTTATTTTAGTCGTTACTCAGAGGAGACTCGAGACGCTGCTGCCACAGAGTAAGGAGTAAGGTTCTTTACCCAAGTGCTGCTGCCCATCTCCTGATTTGTTTCCCTCTGTCGCCTCTTGCGACACACACATAAGTAGTGGATATTATTACACTACGACGACACGGTATAATCTATACAAATAAATAAAATTAAAGTGTCTGTTTGTAATGTAAAGATTACAGTTTTTTACTAAATACATATGAAAGTAAATACGGTACTTATAACTAAAATACGAGTACAATTTTTCAAATTTTTGTCTGTCTGTCTGTGTTTTTGTTCCGGGTAATCTCTGAAACGGCTGAACCGATTTTGACGGGACTTTCACTGGCAGATAGCTGATTTCATAAAGAGTAACTTAGGCTACTTTTATTTTAGAAAAATAATTAGGGTTCCGCACAAAAACATAAAAACCCTAACACGCGAGCGAAGCCGCAGGGAACAGCTAGTATAGATATATGAATGGTTAAAATAAATATAGATATATGACCCTTATATGATTGCTATAATAATTACTGCAACTACTAAATTATTTACAAATGTAATTAAGCATATAACCATATTACAACAATTATATATTGTTTTTAATATACATATCATATTATTTTTTCATATTATTCTTACAGTGTCATCCGATTCTGAGCTATGTTCAAAATTTTAAGTATCTATCTCATCGGGAAGTTAAAATCAATTACTAAATTCGGCCCAAACAGACATAAATACACTAAAGTGAGTTAATAAAGACGTGGTAAAACATTCAAATTACTTTTGGTTTATTAATATTGTTGAGGGTATAAGTAATTAAATGCCCACGCTATTAATTTACAACATGCACTTGTAAATAAGTTCAACGCGCAATAAACAATAACACCGCTTTGCTGGCTTTGACGCTTTGTTTTAAATTTCAAGTCTGTTAAAACAAAAGAGAAACAAAAGAGTATCAATATTAACATTTACTTAATTATTTTTTATTTTTTAAATTTCATAGAAACAGACGGTCGGCGAGTCTTCATGCCTTTGTTGTCGATATTCCACGCCATGGACCTAGAAAAAAGTCTAGGTCCATGTTCCACGCATTAAAACCAAACGGTTTGCTTCGTCTTTTGTAATGCGTACAGCAAAGTAGTGGAATAATTTGCCGGCGTCTATCTTTCCATCCGAATACAATCTGGGCGTCTTCAAAACAAGAGTGAATACGCTTTTGTTACGATAAGACAGTGCGATTTACCATCTAAGGCTGCATCACCACTTACCACCAGGTGGGATTGTGGTCAAGCACTGGCTTATAATAAGTAAAAAAAATAAACATTTAACCTTTCTAAGAATAAAGAACAAGACTTAAATTGTTTTAGTCTATGCAAACGCTCAATTTACACTAATTTAATCATATTTTTTTTAAACAACAAAAACACTCACCGTCTCGGAAGAACTTCCACTGCCATAATCACTGTAATAATTTAAACCCATGATTTAAAGACAGACTAAGTAATATAAAACAACCGTCGCGCACTGAGCCTCAAGCGGGAATGAATGATCATGATGTGGTGTGGTTAGGGTTGCCATCTGTCCGGCTTTAACCGGACATGTTTGGCTTTTTCGAGTTGTGTCCGGCCATATTTTTATGTGTCCGGCATGTCCGGCTTTTGTTAGGCTTTTTGTTAATGTAACGCATCGCTTGCAGAATAAATAAATAAGTAACGTATACACTTGAAACTGTGCTGTGATTGATTGATAAACAATTAACGTATGTAACGGAGTATTTTAGTGTATTTCCTCGGCGGGTTGGAGTTGGTGAGTTTTTTGGCTGCATGGCCTCAGAAAGGTATGTTTGGCTAAAAATTACAGTCCGGCTTTTAGGGCCAAAGGTCCGGCTTTTTGGAGCGTCGAGTCCGGCTTTTTCATTTTAGGAGATGGCAACCCTAGGTGTGGTGTGGAAAAAAAAACAATAAGTACTTACTCAAATATCAAACTCAAATGTTTAAATTTGACCACGTTTCAAGAGACAATATTATTACTTCAAGTAACGGGCGGAACTTTTTTTTTAATCGTAACCTATATAGCTACCATAAATTGTGCTAAAGTGTAAACAATTTAGTTAATGTGAGCATAATAAATGAGTGAATGGGGCTCTACATCCTATTGTGAAAAGTCAAAATGTGTCCAAAAAGGCACGTATGGCAATTCACAATGCTGTGTTAGTCCCTACTTTAATGTATGGTAGTGAAAGTTGGGTGTGGCAGAAGAAGCACGAGAGTAGAATAAATGCTGTAGAAATGCGGTCATTAAGGAGTATGTTAGGGATGAATCTGAATGACAGAGTGAGAAATTGTTTAATAAGAGAAGAGTGTGGTTTGCAAGATGATGTTGTGACCATGATAAAGAAAGGAATGCTTCGGTGGTTTGGTCATATAGAAAGAATGAATGAAGAAAGAGTAACAAAGCAAATTTATGTTGCAGAGGTGAACGGCAGAGTCGGGAAGGGTTGCCCTAGGCGAAAGTTTATCGACCAAATTGGCGATATATTGAAAATGGGCCAAATCAAGAGTACCTTTAACCGACGAGCGTGTATGCGTAGGTATATGGATGTGGAGGAAGCGAGAGAGGTGTGTCAGGATCGTACCAAATGGAAGTCCATAGTCTCTGCCTACCCCTCTGGGTGACAGGCGTGAGTGTTTTTGTATAATAAAGATTTTATCATAAAGGTAGGTAGGTATTACAAATTTGGTAATGATTACAAAGACGATGCTACCAATTCTCTAACACAAGCTTAGCACACAACACTACAGATGTTTTACTCAACGAATATCTAGGTATTCATTTTAAATTTTAATATAATGGTTTATTAGGTCCAAAATCGCGTAAAGGATAAAGCACTATGTTCGGAGTTTAGGCTCGGAGTTTTGATTTTACCACATGAGTAAAGAAACCGACTCATTACTCTGTGTTTTTACTAAAGGCACTCACAGAATACCAGCGTAAAATAGCTTACCTAAGGGGAAGGGGCACCCAGGTAAATCGTGTTCCCACGCTTGGCGAGCGGGTTGGCAAACGTAGTTTTGGACGAGATCTGACGACCTGAACCTAATGTAACAAGCAGATGCAGGTGGTACAGGAGTTCAGGACCGTACTTTGTAGCAATCTATGGGGGAGGCTTATGTTCAGCAGTGGACTTGTGATGTGCTGTATTAATAGTAGTATACTAGATGATGGATGCCTTAATTTTAATGACTGACTCGTTGGTCTAGTGATCATGAGATCCCGGGTCCGAATCCCGGGTCGGGCCACAATCAGTTATTGGCTTTTTCTGCCTAGAAACTCTCAGTAGCAAGTAGCAGCCCGGAGTCAGAAATTTGGCGGCGTTTCAACCCCGTGCCCCAGGAAACCACGTAAAGCCGTTAGTACTGCTCCTCCGTTCGTGTCGGATTACCGTCCTGTCTGACTATGAGAATGAAGGAATAGAGAGTGCACCTGTGTTTGCGCATACACTTGGGCTCTATAATCCTGTACTACGCAGATGGCTAGTCTCCGTTGAGACTGGCCGCTGTGTCCGAAATTCGGGTTGGAGGATATTAGTGCTAGATATACCCACAACCTAATACCACAGCCTAAAAAGAACTAGTTAGACTGTGCTAATACTACAGAGTATAGACGAATATAATTTAAGTATACTAGTTCATATACTTTTCATTATATTATTTATACGTGGTAGAGCCACGCTGCAGCTATATTAATAGTATACTTGTAGCACGAATGGGTCGGCTCGACCAGGGATGGACCACATGCTCTCACGGAATACCAGCGTAAAATAGCAGCTTGATGTTGCTGTGTTTCGTATGGTGACTGTAGAGAACCGGAGACCCTTTTTATTGGAAACTAAACATTCCATCTTAGTCCTCACGGCTGACAACTCATCAGCATTTTGATTCTCAAACGAGGATAGATGTAGATGTCTATGGGCCACAGCAACCACTTAGCATCAGGTGGATTGTGTGCTCGTTTATCACCATTATTTTATAAAAAAAAAATTATAATTAAAATTTTGTACAACCGACTTCAATATAAATTATTAAAAATAACTTAAGAATTATTGTCAGACCTCGATCAAATTTATATGGGACCACATGAGAATCGCCACCTTTCAAATAAAAGAAGAATCATCGAAATCGGTTCACGTAGTATAGATATGGGTAACACACATATAAAAGAACATTCGAATTGAGTACCTCCTCCTTCTTGAAGTCGGTAGAAAAACAGAAAAAAGAAATACACATAGGTACATAATAATAAATATCCTCCAGATCGAATTTCGATCACGGCAGCCATCCTCAACGGAGACTAGCCATCGGCGCAGGCACAGAATAAATGATAGGACAACGGCGCAGGACAGGATTGTAGTGCCCAAGTGTATGCGCAAGTACAAGTACTATTAAGAATTACTTGACGAAAAGACTCAATAACTGATTTTTTTGACCCGACCCGGGATTCGAACCCGGGGCCTCATGTACAGCAGCCGCGTTTTACAAGCACTAAACCAACGAGGCAGTCAAAAAACAACGTACACATGTATGTGTATGTATATGTGTATGCAAACACACTAGCGCGCGCGCGCGCACAGACGCACGCACGCACGCACGCACGCACGCACGCACGCACGCACGTACGAATATATATTTGTTTTAGGTAGTTTTGTATTGTGTTTATAATATATATAATATATAATAAAGTAATGTATTTAGTATAGTTGAACAGTTTTTATTTATAAGTTATGTTTTATTATTGTCCTTAATTTGCACCTGCCTGCATCTTTATTGATTCGATTTTCGTCGGGTCGAAAATGCCATACGGCATTAACATTTGCAATATACCAATGTTGCAATAAAGGATAAATAAATAATTAAATAAATTATACTCCTTTCTCCACGTAGACGACACCCATTACGTAAGGATTTTAGAAAATTCAACCCCTGAGGGCGTGAAATAGGTTGTTACTGCTTGTACTTTATAGGTGCTTACGTACTTTTGACAAAGGTTAAAGAAGCCAGTCATTTACCTAATTTTAGCCGAAAGCAGTCTGGTAAGTTCTACTTGCTTTAATATTATGTAGTTTTTTTTTTATAAGACCGAAGTGACAAGCGAACCTACAGTCCACCTGATGGTAAGGTTATTTTTTTATAGTATAAGGGTGACAAACGAGCAACCAGTCCACCTGATGGTAAGTGGTTGCTGTGGCCCATAAACATCTACATCTATCCTCGTTTGCGAATCAAAATGCAGATGCGTTGTCCCCGTGAGGACTAAGATGGAATGCCTCTTTTCCAGTAAAATAGGTCTCCGGTTCTCTACACTCATCATACGAAACACAGCAGCATTAAGCTGCTATTTTACGCTGGTGTTCTGTAAGAGAGCCGTGTAGTGGTGGTTAAGAATATCCACTACCCCATATCTTCCCGTGGGTGTCGTAAGGGGCGACAGTGGGAAACAGGCAGGAGATGGGCAGCAGCATATTCCTGATAACAGCAATAGTACAATAAAAAACTGCGGTTGCCAACCCGCTCCCCAAGCGTGGCAACTATGGCAATATAGCCCCCTAAGATAAGGGTAACAAAGAGACGGCCCCCAGTCCCCGGCGGCCCCGCTATTCCTGACCGCGGTGGCGACCAAGGTAACGGCGGGGCAGGGGGTGCTAAGAATCTCCGGTGGAGGTTCGGTTGCCACCTACTCGACCTGGCAACTTATAACGCACGCACCCTGAGGACTGACGAGAAGATCCCGGAGCTGGAAGAAGAGATAGACAAGTTACGCTGGCATATTATAGGATTATCCGAGGCCCGAAGAGAGGAGGAGGACACAGTAATCCTCGAATCCGGCAACTTGTTCTATCACCAGGAGGGCGACCGTCTGTCCCAAGGAGGTGTCGGATTTATCGTCCACAAGTCTCTCGTTAACAACGTTGTAAAGATTGAGAGTGTGTCGACGAGGGTTGCGTACCTTATACTCAGAATCACCAAACGGTATTCGCTGAAGGTCATACAGGTTTACGCACCAACCTCGGCACATCCCGATGAGGAGGTGGAGGAAATGTAAGAGGATATTTCTAGAGCCATGCATTCCTCCAAAACCCACTATACGGTGTTAATGGGAGACTTCAATGCAAAACTAGGCACAAGAGAGAACGGCGAGCTGAAAGTAGGGAAATTTGGAATAGGGCAACGTAACCCAACGGGCCAGCAGCTGGTCGACTTGATGGAGAAAAAGGGACTCTTTATGATGAACTCTTTCTTCCAGAAGCGGCCTCACAGGAAGTGGAGCTGGTCGAGCCCCGACGGTTCGACAAAAAATGAGATTGATTGCGGTCGTAGCTAAGTTCTGCAAGACTCGCCGCAGAAGAACACAAAAACTCTCCGATCACACTCTTAATCTCATGGCTGTTAGACGGGAGATGAAGCTACAGTCATCAACAGATTTGA